TAAAATTCGTCGTTGTATATTATCATTATTTTACTTTTTTCTTTCATTCCAATATTTCTAAGAAATATTCTATTGATGGATTATCACCATAGTTATCCATCATTTTCTATTGTAACTTTATTAATTGGTTATTCTAATATTGGTCTTGATGTAGTACGTTTTTGAGTAAAATAACTTGTTGATGTTGTACTATCATCACTTGATGGTAGTGGCCATGAATATTCAATTGAATTTCATGAAACAATTTCTCTTAATTATGATCATCCTTCTAATATATCTGGACGTATATATGAACTTATAGCAATAATTGAATCAATTAATATTAATGTTGGTAACATTCTACCACAATTTTATGCATATTATACCTGAAAATGATATGCAACATCTTCAGTGAATCCAGTATGAGTCAGTGTTTTATCCAGTGGGTGGGCTGGGTAGGCGGCGCCTACCCTAAATTTCATTTTGCCCATCCTAAAATATAAAATTAGTGTATAAAAAAAAATTGGTGTTGTCTCTATTGTCTTAATCACCATGCTGTTGTCTATACTCATTCATAAATCTATCATATATAAATTGTCTTTTCTCAATGAGAACAAACAGAATTGACTGATATGATTATTACATTTATAACTCAGTTGGACTAAATCAGTTCGGCTATTCATTGAATAGGCGATTTTTCGTGAGACAGCGATAGATATAAAAAGAACAAAAAAGAGAAAAATCATTTTTCGGTCACGATATTTGTCCTGTTACGTCAGATATCTCACATCAATATATTCTTTTGATTTCACTTATTTTCGATCTATCTTTAAACAAATGTCATCAGCACAAAAATCTCTAACTTTATATTTTAAAAGAAAAGCAATTGTTGAAGAATCGGACAATAATTTAGCAAAAAAAAATAAATTAAACGATAATTTAAATAATATTTTAAATGATAATGTAACAACTACACAAACAATTTCAAACACTGCACCATCACGTGATACTCAACCAAATATTAATGAAAATTGTCCATTATCCACCACAGCAAATACAACAGCAAATGATAATAAAAAACGTAGATATCAAAAATGGTATTCAGATAATTATAAATGGCTTATACATGAACCAAATCAAGGTGGATTTTGTCGCATATGTCGCGATTACTGGAAACCAACAATACCATTTTATTCTGAAATGAACGCAAGAACTAAAGGTGCTTTTGCTACACAACCGTTTGTTAATTGGAAAACTGCACCTGGTCCAAATGGAAGTTTAGAAAAACACCAACAATCTTCTTATCATAAAACAGCTGTACAAAATTTATCATATCGGCAGCAGGAAGGATCAGTAATAGAACAATTGCTTAATGTTAGTGAATTAGAACGTCAAGAAAATCGTCAAAGATTTGGTGATTTATTAGATGCTGCTTATTTTTTATTTAAACATGAATTACCACATACAACATTATATTCATCATTATTGGAATTATTAGCAAAAACTGATCATAGCAAAAAATTATCATCATTTTTTGATAAATGTCAAAAGAATGCCAGCTATGACAGTACAACAACAGTTACAGAATTATTACAAACAATTAGTGAAATAATAGATGAACAAATATTAAGAAAAATTCGTGAATCAAGAGTTATTTCAATCATGGCTGACGAAGGTACAGACATAAATCGTCATCAAAATTTATCGATCTGTATACGTTATTGTAATCAAGATACAGGTAAGTCTATCCTTTCTCACCATTCTTTTGTAGGTATTGGAAAGTGTTAGCAATCTTTGATCATTATCTAAACTGTTTTAGAAAATCAGTGCTCGAAAAAAATCTACTCTGCACCTTCCATGCTGTCGATTATATTAAAAATTCTTGCCTAAAATTGTTATGAGATATTTGATGCGCTTTTGCATTCGAACGACCAGTTTTGAGGAAAATTTTCTTACGTGAATATTCATACTTTTAGGTGAACCAACAGAATCATTTATCAGTTTATTAAAAATAAAAGATAAAGATGCTCAAACAATATTTGATACAATTGTTAAAGAATTAGAAGCTAAACATATTGATATGACAAAAATTCGTTTTACTGGCTTTGATGGTGCATCGGTGTTTAGTGGAGAATTTAATGGTGTATCTGCAAAATTTCGCCAGATATATTCAGATTCAATATTATTTATTCATTGTCGTGGTCATATTTTACAGTTATGTTTATTAGATGCATGTGAACATATACCTGAAGTAGAAGAATGTTTATCAACATTGAAATCTTTAATTAATTTTATTAATCGATCATCTATCAGATTAGCACGTTTTAATGATATTCAAGCATTATTACAATGTCCACAAATAAAATTAATTCGACCCGGTGATACACGATGGTTATCATATTTTCGTTCAATTAGTGTTATTCTTCGTTGTTATGAACCTTTAATGATAACATTAGAACATATATCTAATGAAAGAGATGAAGAAAGTCCAACTGCAGCTGGTCTACTTTCAATCTTAGAAAATCAATTGACAATATTCTTACTTCATAGTTTAGAACCAATTTTTGAAGCACTTTCAATTTTATCGAAATCCATACAAACAAAAAATGCAGATTTTAGTCAACTTGAACAATCAATGCTTGGAACATTATTACGATTAGAAGAATTAAAAGATATTAATATTACTGAATATCAAAAAATATTTGAAATTGTTGATAAAATAAAGACATCATCTAATGATGATGGTCGTAAACGTGCAACACGTACAACAACAAGAACAAATGAAGTTAGTTTACAACAACAATTTAATGATAAAATAGTTAAATTTATTGATAAAATTATATCAAATCTACGTGCTAGATTTGAATCAAATGTTTTACAATTCCTCAATTGTTTTCGTATATTTGATGTTGCTGAAGTAACTGATGAACCAGAATATGGTGTACAACAGATTAATATGATCAAAAACCAATATCCTAATGATTTTAATGACAACTTACTCAACGAATGGAAAGTATTTCGTAAATATTTATTCGTGCAAAAACAACAACAAACATCAACAAGTTTATCACAACGACAACAATGTATTAATTTAGTTAAAAATGGAATGTTAAAAGATATGTATCCACAATTATCTTTAGCTGCTGAAATATTTTTATGTGCACCAATTAGCACAGCAACAGTGGAACGCGATTTTAGTACAATGAATAGAATATTAACTGATTTACGCAATCGTTTAACAACAGAACATTTGGAACAATTAATGAAGATATCAATAGAAGGACCATGTGATTTAGATAATAATATCAAAGATTTAATTATTAATTGCTGGAAAACTAAAAAACTTCGAAGAATTTCAGTTTAACTTATATTTTCTTTTTCTCTAAATGTTTTTTTTTTGATATTTTTTCAGATTGTATCTTTAATAGAAGAAAAATTGTAATTATGTTGTGAAACAAAAATAAATTAAGTTTTGTGTAATTTGTTATAGAACAAAAATATTTTTAGGTAATAGCCCATCCTAAAACTCCAGCCGCCCACCCGAAAAATGAAACCTAGATAAAACACTG